CAGCGCATGCAGCTCAATATCAAAAAAATGAACCACGCAGTCCAAAAATGGGCAGAAGGCCTAAATAGACATTTCTCCAAAGAAGATATATAGACTGCCAACAAACACATGAAAGGATGCTCAACATCATTAATCATTAGAGAAATGCAAATCAAAACTACAATGAGATATCATCTCACACCAGTCAGAATGGCCATCATCAAAAAATCAAGAAACAATAAATGCTAGAGAGGGTGTGGAGAAAAGGGAACCCTCTTGCACTGCTGGTGGGAATGTGAATTGGTACAGCCACTATGGAGAACAGTATGGAGGTTCCTTCAAAAATTACAAATGGAACTACCATACAATCCAGCAATCCCACTACTGGGCATATACCCTGAGAAAACCATAATTCAAAAAGAGTCATGTACCAAAATGTTCATTGCAGTTCTATTTACAACAGCCAGGACATGGAAGCAACCTAAGTGTCCATAATCGGATGAATGGATAAAGAAGATGTAGCACGTATATACAATGGAATATTACTCAGCTATAAAAGGAAAGAAAATTGAGTTATTTGAGGTGAGGTGGATGGACCTAGAGTCTGTCATACAGAGTGAAGTAAGTCAGAAAGAGTAAAATAAATACCGTATGCTAACACATATATATGAAATCTAAAAAAAAATTGGTCCTGAAGAACCTAGGGGCAGGACAGGAATAAAGACGCAGACGTAGAGAATGGACTTGAGGACACGGGGAGGAGGAAGGGTAAGTTGGGACAAAGTGAGAGAGTGGCATGGACATATATACGCTACCAAATGTAAAACAGATAACTAGTGGGAAGCAGCTGCATAGCACAGGGAGATCAGCTCGGTGCATTGTGACCACCTAGAGCGGGGGATAGGGAGGGTGGGAGGGAGATGCAAGAGGGAGGAGATATGGGGATATATGTATATGTATAGCTGATTCACTTTGTTATACAGCAGAAACTAACACACCATTGTAAAACAATTATACTACAGTAAAGATGTCAAAAAGAAAAAAAGAATGTGTGTGGGTAGTTGGATTAAATATTTGAAAATACGTTGAAAAAAGAAAAAGAAAGTTGAGTTTTATCTTAGTGATAATACAGTTCGTATTAAAGACAGGTTGGGGTAGAAAATTAAATGAAGGTAAAACTGTAGAATCACACGTGGCTCTATCCAACTCTCATTCCTTCTTCTCTTCTTCCACAGAATTCTTGGTTCTTACATTTAAACAGCAAAACTGAGGAAACAAAGACTCTCACTACAATTCAGACATTAGAAAAAAACAGAAAGTCAGACCAATTAATTCTATAGATACACATTTTGAATTTGCACCTTCAATTTTCATTTAAGTTTTCTGAGAAAAGATGATACCAGCACGGGTTTGGTGACTATGGACAATAAATTGCAAGGCTTACTCAAAGTGCACACTGTTGTAGAAAAATTCACCAATGCTGTAGATACTTGCCCTGCTCTAGCAAGGACCAGCTTCAGGAACTGTTCAGATTTATTATAAAAACAGGTACTGGGAAGAACAATAAAGAAAGGTTGTATGTCTCAGACTATTTGAAATGATTCCATTAAATAGACTGAAAAACACATTAAAATACCTAAAATAGACTGAAAAAGGCATACTACTGAATATTATGACTAGCACTTCTCAAAACCGTCCAGGTCATCAAAAACAAGGAAAGCCTGAGAAAATGTCACAGCCCAGAGGAGCTTAAGGAGACATGACAACTAAATGTAACATAGTATCATTACACGTGGATGGGATCCTGGGACAGAAAAACAGTATTAGGTGAAGTCTGAATAAACTATGAACTATATCAATATTGGTTCATTAATTTTAACAAATGTATTATATTCATGTAAGATGTTAATAATAGGAGAAACTGGGTATGGGATACATTGGGACTCTCTGTACTATCTGCTCAATTTTTCTGTAAATGAAAAACTATTCTTAAAAAATAAAGTTTATTAAAAGTGGGTTCTATTTCTCAGGCTATTTGAAATGATTACACTAGTGAAAAAGATCTAATACTTGAGGGCCTAGCTCACGGGCCTGGATCAAGGGCACTCAGAGACTTCAGCCATCAGATAAGAACAGGACAAGGACTCCATACCCCCATAGTAATCCAGCTCAGAAAGCCGCAAATCCAGGCACCCAAAATCCCTTCAGAGAATTTCAGTGGGAACAGTTGATAATTAATAAGCAAAGCCTATTTAACTTTCTTCATCCCAAACAACCCTACATCTTGAAAACACATTGTAGGCAGCAGGTTTCAAAAGCAGTGAAATCCCCATTTGCAGAAGTCAAACTAACAATTGGGGGGGTGGGGTGGGGGACAAGCCATCCCTGGTGACTTGCATCCTCCATCAGCTGCCAGCCCCTCCTGATGGAGAGAGGAGCTGGTATGGGAGCAGAGGCAGCCTGGGCCTTTAGCAACTCCTACCTCAGGCACTACGATGTTGATGTTGTCTAACACTATCGCTTACACAGACAAAGCACCCAAACTCCAAGTCAGACTCTTGCCCTCCTCTTGCCTAAGGATTCAGTAAGCACCAAGGACCATGGGAGCTCTATTCGTCAGTCAGGTTATGAACGCTGAAGGATAGTTTCTTAATGGAAATACTGACCATGGTTAATTAGTAAAACACAAATTTCAAGGTGAAAATCTCTTGATTCTATATATTCATTCTTTCATTCAAAGTATATATATTTATTAAAGAAGTATTATGAGCCAGATACTGGGCTCATGAAAGAAATTAGCTCAAGAGAACACTCTGAACTGATGAAACAGTTTAGATGAACATCAGATCAATAAATATAAATGTGGATGACGTTAATAGAATCTCATCAAGCAGAGAACATTCTTGATTTAACCTCGCACGCCCTCTATTGGTCTCTTGGTTAAAATGCAAAGCTTATATAACCCACAGTTTGGTAGGTCATGTTCAATATGCTGGAAATCTGACGTGCTGACTACTCATTGGACTTCGTGAACACTCAGACCTCTGACTGCTGTGTGGAATCTCCTCTCTCTCCTTCTCTCTCTCTCCCCGCTCCCTCTCTCTCTCCCTCTCCCTCTCTCTAATTTCATAATACCTGTTACGATACTACCATTGATTCATTCAACCAATATCTATTGAAGTCCTACCTTGAGAAGGCACTAACTCATCTTTCCAATTTAAATAACTTTATTCTTTATTTTTCAAACATATTGACATTCCATAAGTCAACTGGTAGTACCAGGAGAGACACTCCCCCAAAGGGTTGGGAATCAATGTTTCCCACTCATCTCTCTCTGCCCATCCATTCCAACTTTCATACTCGATCATTCACCCAACGAAAATTTTTTAAGTTTTCTATGTGCCAGGTAGAGTTCTAGGCAGTGAAGCTACAGTAATAAACAAAATCAAATAAAAATCCCTACCCCCTATGAAGTTTATATTCTAGTGGGAAGGGGTGTAAGGCATGAAATAAATAATGAATAAGTAAATTAAATAATTTTTTAGACAATCAATAGTATGGAGAACAATAGAACAGGGAAAGGGCAATGGGAGGCTTTTCTGCAGTGCAAATTTAAAAACGTGGTCAGGGAAGGCCTTACTGAGAAAGTGATATTTGAGCAAAGACTTGAAGGAGGTAAAGGGTCATTAATTGGGAGAAGGATATTTCAGGCAGTGAGAACAGGAAGGGCAAAGGCCTGGAGGTGGGAACATGCCTGGTATGTTCAAGGGAAAAGAGGAGTCCAGTGGCCAGATAATAGCGAGGAAAAGAACAGTAGTTCTACAGGGGGGGGAAGGAGAAATAGGGGGAATGCACAGGGCTTTGTAGGCCGCGGTAGGCACTTTGGCTTTTACTCAGTGAAACAGGGAGCCAAGGCAGTGTTTTGAACAGAGGAGTAATAGGATCTGACTTCTGTTTTAATAGGATCACTATGTCCGCTGTGTGGAGAATAGACCTAACAGGGGCAAGGCCAGAAGCAGGAACACTAGTTGGGAGGTGGTTGCAATAATCCGAGAGAGATGAACTAGGGTTATAGTGCTGGAGGCAGTGAGAAGTGGTCAGATTCTGGATATATTTTAAAGATGGAGTTGGGATTTTTTACAGACTGAACGTGGGGTGTGAAAGAAAAGGAGTCAAGGATGATTCCAACATGTTTGGTTTCAACAACTGGAAGAGTAGGGCTGCCATATGAGGGGGGATTAGGAGTTAGCTTTTGGACATATATTAAGTTTGGGATGTCAACCACACACCCACCAATCAATTTACTCTCTACCATCTCCTACCTAGCTATCCATTTACTCACTCAGATTTCTCTATGTCACAAATCCCTTGACATCTCTGTATGTCTTTCAGTGTGCCACTTCCAATTTTACTAACAATACTGCCTCCTACTTTGGCAAAAAACTGGGTATTTTTGATGTCTCCCTTCACCTTACCCCCAAGAGCTAACTGATCACCAAGTTCTGTCAGTTATGCCTCTAAAATCACTCTCAAGTGCTCTTCTTCCTTTTCACATCCACTGTCACCACCTTTGTTCATACTTTCAAGATCTCTCCCCTGGTTTTTGAGCATAGCAATTTGATCTTTTCCTTTACTAGTGAGACTGGGTAGACAGGTCCAGTGGATCTGGGGTCAGGAGGTGGAGGCAAGGGGCAGGGCATAAGTAAGAGGGTCATTTACTCCCTTCCCTGGTACCTAGACCTGAAAGCGAATGCCAGAATTACATTTAAGAGAGAATGCTAGGGCTTCCCTGGTGGCGCAGTGGTTGAGAATCGGCCTGCCAATGCAGGGGACAAGGGTTTGAGCCCTGGTCCAGGAAGATCCCACATGCCACAGAGCAACTAAGCCCGTGCGCCACTACTACTGAAGCCCGCGCACCTAGAGCCCATGCTCCGCAACAAGAGAAGCCACTGCAAAGAGAAGTCTGTGCACCGCAACGAAGAGTAGCCCCCCCCACCCCGCCGCAACTAGAGATAGCCCGCGTGCAGCAACAAAGACCCAACACAGCCAAAAGTAAATAAATTAAAAAAAAAGAGAGAGAATGCTGAGGTTGAGCTGGGAAAGCATACCTATAATAAGATTATGAGATCAAGGTTGCTTTGAGTGCCCCCCCGCAAATACTTCCTGATCAACAACCTTCCAGTGAATCAGACAGTGGGCCAACCATGATGCCACTGGAAAGCTAACACCTCTTTCATGATGAAACTGGTCTCTCAGCCTTAGATTGCTGGAGATAATTGCAGGGTACAAGGTAGACAAGTGCATCGGGGAGTAGCAAGACTGGATGAGTGATCATGGAGTGAGAAGGGCATGAAGTTCTATGGGCTGCTGATGTAGGAGGTGTGTGGGCAGATGACTGAATTTCACTTCAAAGGTTTCCAGGTAAGAGTCCTTCAATTTCTGCCATGGCAGATGTGGCTGTGCCAAAAGGAAATCACACCTGAATGATCCAGTTAGTGTAATTCATATATGGCAAACACTTTCTGGTGCTTAGTATGGTCCAAGTATTAGTCTATGTACTTTACACACATTAGTTCGTGTAATACAACTGCTTTGTGAGATAGGTACTATCATTATCTCCATTTTATAGGTGAGGAAATCAAGGAACAGAGTTTAAGCAGGTTGTTCAAGATCACATAGGAAGCGGCAGTGCTGGGATTCAAACCCAGGCAGTGTGACTTGAGTCCCTGCTCTTACCCCCTCTGCCATGTTGTATGGTGAAAGCTAACAGAATGTGCCCTTGGGTGGTCCATACTTGGGTAGTCAAGATATTGACCAGACTCAGGGATGTCAGTGGTTCTAGCAAATAGCCAGGGTGAGAGTGGGCTGGAAATAATTAATGCCATGAAGGGAAGAGGTCTGGATGGAGGGGTATAGTGGATTAGAAATGAATTCTGAGGAGGTTGGAGGTGGAGAACCAATCGTATTATGTATCAGAGGTGTAGCAGTACTGCTGCTCCGCCAGGACCTGGTCAATCCATATGGCCTGGAAGGTTGTCTGCTGGTAGTGGTATGGTGGAGAGGTAAATGTGGGGGAGGAGGACTTTGAATGGCATTCTCCAAAACTAGTACATGAACTGGAGGCTGTGGTTGGAGAGCAGATGGCTATGGAACTTGTGAAAGTGGAAGGCCTTTTAGATGCATGGGCAGCAATGGCTGGGAAAGAGGGATCCACCACTAAGAAGGCGTTACAGATGTGGGAGGAGGAAAAATCTGCACTGAAGTTCATTGGAATGATATCCCAAGGACCTGAAGGTTACCTTGGTGTGTCTTTGTCTCAACTGTAGGATCACAGAGGTATACCAGAGGTTAGGTCAGATATGGGGCAACTAGAAGAACCCTTAGTCCAGGAGTTCTCAAACTGTGTTGTGCATCAGAATCACCTTAGGGAGACACTGGTTAAAAAAAAAAAAAAAGAATATTCTTGGGCTTTACCCCTAGTGGGTCTGATTTAGGAATCTTCATTTTAGAATTAAGATGCAGGTGGGCTGCAGGCCACATTACGAAACACACTCCATGAGATTATATGCAAGTCTGAATAGGCTATGTTGGCCCACTGGAGGGGTGCCCTTGGGCACAGGCAACCCCCGATCCTAACAGAATGGGGCATCTTGGAACAACATAAACCTCTGGGCTGCCCCAGGATGGACCTGGATCTTTATGTTCTACACTTGCTGCCCCGGCTCCTCTGCGCTATAACAATTTGAGCTCATGATCACAAACTGCTTGTCCCTCTCAAAGGAAGTGTCTCCCTATCTTGAAGGTGGCCTTGAAGAGCTCTCATTCCCACTTGGGGTAATTGGCCTTGTTTAGGGCCAGCTTAGGTCCAGAGATCAAAAGTACCTAGGTCCTCCTGTGACAGGACAATACTCCCCACCCATCACCCCCTCCTCACCCACACCCCTGTACCTGGATGTTGAAGGCATTAGTCAGTGGTATAGACCAGGGCTGGGGTAGAAGGCCTTCAGCTACGGGAAGGTCATTTTTGTGTCTGGGGACCAAATTCCTTTCTCCTTAAGAGAAAGGATACTGGGGAAGTGAAGATGCAGAGGTAGTAGATGAATTGTGGGCAGTATCAAGGGGTTGCTGACGTCTTCAATCATTTTAGGGACTTCATTTTAGAAAAATGTACATCTTATCCAGCACTATGTAAACTCTGCCCAGAAATATCACTTTCACACTTTGGGGCTTGGCCTGGGGATAGTGCTACTGTAATCATTCAACTACCACGCAGCTCAGACATTCTGTGACATCTCATTAAGTGAATTTATCAAAATATTGCCCAGGTAAATATTCTAGGAGGTGGTGTGTGATCTCATTTGCTGGAAGCAAGTGGGGACACTGCACAGGAATCCTCCATTCATTACCTTTCTTGATCCAGATGAGGTTGTAGGTGCCCCTAGGGGATACATAACCCTGTGAAGGCCAGAGCCTTATGGAATTGAGCTAGAAGGTTCTGGGGTAACAGAAAGGATTTTGAAAAGTGATTACACTGAGGACAGAATAATCTTGACAAGAAGAACTCCCTGCTTTTTATTTTCAGAAAGGGTCTCAAGGTTAATGTGGAAGAGATGGAGAATCTGATGAATCCCGCTGCCAGCTGCTGTCCAGAGTTTTTATTTTATAGAAGGCCTTGATTTTAGATTCAGAGAGCACCTGCTCCTTAGGAAGAAGAAAAGTCCTGGATATCAGCACTACAGCACAGTCACCCTTGCCAATTAGGGGTGGTCCCACTGTCTCTTGGTAAGGAGTATCCTCATTTGCCTTATGAGTATGGGCTGGACCTAGTAGTGGAGGTCGAACAGTGAATTCATGTGATGTTTGGGAGGAGTAGGGGTATAGGGAAGGCTGGCAGTGAAACTTTGATAAAGCAAAGGGCCTGAGTCTTTAAGCTGATCGTGAATAGTCTACTTTCAGCCAGGAGCTTACGGGCAAAGGGGACGTGGAAGTGCAGTGGGTGACAAACAGTACCAGGGCTCACTTTAGCTGGACAGGCAGTGGGACCCCACTGGACCAGAGACTTGCCTGAGAGGCTACCTAAGACCCCCTGGGTGTAACCCAATCTGGATATAAGTGACTTTCATCAAACACTTACTATGTGCCAGGCTCTTTGCTAGGCTCTTTAATACAATGATCAGATTTAAGCCCCATCACCCTATAAGGTGGGTACTATTATTATCCCTAATTTACAACTGAGGATACTGAGGCACAGAGAGGTTTTGCAGCTGGTAACTGATGGAGCTGGAATTCCCTGTGCAACACTGAACCACTGTATTAGACTATCTTCCCTAGATCTCATCTGATCTGGGCTACTATGGGAAAGGTTTGTTTATTTTGTCTCATGATGGGTCTGTTCTGCAGGTGCCAGGATGGAATGGGTGTAAAGAGGAAGTGATAAGGACATGCGCTCCATGGCTGAAGGAGGAGTCTGCCTTGGTGCTGAGGCGACGTGGCTGACCCTGAATCCAGGTTTCCATTTTCATGCAGTCATCTATTGGTTTGGAAAGGCTGGAGGTGGGATGATGTCAGAAGAGGAGGGGGGTTCTGGCTGCTTGGTTAATGAGTTATACTGCACATACAGCACTCTGGAGAACTGGAACTGGAATGCAATCCACTGTCATTCACTCTGTGCATAAAGAGCTGGAGCTCTTGAGAACAGAGCTCTAGTAGCTTTGATCCCAACTGCTAGCTGGACGGTAACTAAGAGCTGGAGGTCTCATTCTATATTCTTCTTGTTGAGTTTGCCAAGACACAAGGCAGAGTTATATGGCTCTATCATTCACTGCCCCCAGGTGGAAGTCCCAGAAACCAATGGCATTCTAGGGCAATAATCTCTCCTCTCCTAGCAGCGAAGCAGGCAGAGGGGGCCCAGCTGGCACAGATCCCGTGTCACCAGGTGGAAGGCTGAAATGTCATGGGATAAGATGGCAAATAACAGAATTGTGGCAAGAAGAAGGGCAGGTTGAGCTAGAGATGGAAATAAGTCTTAAATGGATTATCAGAATGAGATAAAGGAAAATACTGGGAGCTGTAATGCAGAGTCAAACAGGAAGAGGTGAGGATGAGAAACAGCCAGTCAAAGTGGACAAAGAAGATGCGATCTCGGCAAATTCTGGAGGTTAGGAGTCACTGTCCCATGCTGGGTTTTAATACCTCCTAGTACATGTTTACATGGAAAGAGTGAGTCCCATTTAAGGGGATCTAGATGGGACAAGATGGCTTCTTAAGAGACTGACTACAAAAAGCAGAATCAAAGAATTCAAAGAGGCCTGTGAGCAAGTGATAGAAGTGGACAAGAGTCATTTCATGGAGAAAGTAGAGGCCATGGGGCCAGCACTCACTAGTAGGCAACCCAGATACTTCTCTGCTATACCCTCCTTGACTCCTTTTGCTCTGGCTTCAGAAGAGGTGGGTCTCCTCCTCCCAAAGCCATTCCTCCCATCCTCTCCTGCCTCCTCCGAGACTTTGTTCCATTTCTTATCCTTCTCATATTTCCGTTATTTCCCTTTCAGTCTACAAATGTTCTCAAAGCTCTTAAAACAAACCCAACAAGTCAGCCCTCAACCCTGTTTCCCTTGGCCACTGCCCTCCTCTCCTTTCTTTCTCATTTGAACTTTTGGACAGATTAATGTTCCTTTCTTGTCCATTTCTTTAGTTCCTGCTCACCCCTCAACAGTTTGTATTCCCATCACTCTCCAGAAAGTTCTCTTACCAAGGTCATTAATGACTATATTAATTGCCAAATATGACTGACACTTCAGTACTGCTCTGGATTGTTGAGAGCTCTTTTCTTCTTTAAACTCTTCTGCTCCCTTGGTATTCTATGGTCCCTTTCTATTTCGATTACCTGGCCAGTCCTGATTGCTGCTTTTCAGCTGAACTCACTGGGGCTTCTTCTTATACTTGCCCATTACAAGTTGGTATTTCCTGGGGTTCTAGGCTCTATTTTCTTTTTCTCCTCACTCTCTGCCTTTTCCCTAAGTAATCACACCCATTTTCCTGGTTTGTGCTACCATTTCATATACAGGCAACACATCTGCTTCTAGTTCCAGCTTCCACCTCCATCTCCAAATCTCAGAATCCAATTTCCCTGGGTACTACCTCTGCTGCATACCACCACCTACTCCCGTGTACTGAGGTGGTATAATTCAGGGGTTAAGTACACAGGTTGAAGAGTTAGAGTGCCTGGGTTTGACTCTCATTGCTCTGCCTTAGTTCAGGTCCTCATCACTTGTCAGTGAGAGTGCCGATACCCAATTCAGTCCCTCGACCTATAGTCTACACCTCCTTCAATCCATCCTCTATAACTACAGTCAGTTTCCTAAAACACAAATCTAACCACGTTACTACCTAACATAATATTTCAGTGCCCCCCATTTCCTACTGAAGAGTTTCTCAAAGTGTGTGCATCAGAATCACCCCTAGATTTTGAAAGTGCAGGTTCTGATGCCCCAGTCCAAACCTACCTGATCAAGATCTCTGAGAGGTCTAGAAATCTGCATTTTTCAACTGAGTGACTCCGACATACATGAAGCCCTTCATGAGCCATTTCCTACTTTTCTACCTCATCTGCTGCCATTATCTACTTTGAACCTTAACCCTCCAGCAATGTGTGTAGTTCCCCCAATCCGCCAAGCTATTTCACAGTGCTGCTTCTGCAAGGCCCTTCACCTACTTGTCTCCCCAGCACACTCCTCTCCATCCTTTGAAGTCTTCTTAACCACAACCTCCTTACTGAGAAATCTTACTTTCCTTCTGTACAGCTGTTTCTCAACCATTTTTTCATTATCATTCCCTCACCCAAGGAGCCTTTTTAGACACCTTTTTCTAATTGACCTCTCCGCGAAATTTTATATCACAGATGTACTGTACATCTGTTATGTACTGTGACCCTTTGGAAAACCATAAACTATGTAACATCTAAGTTTCTTGCCGCCCCCGCTTCCCTACCACCTGCCCCAGCAAGAATCAATTTTTGCTCCCTTGGGGGCAGTATCACTCCCATTGAGAATACACGCTCTGCAGCAGCAGAAGACACTGCTATCCAAACCGGTCTTCTTGAGGTTCACCTTTGGTTTCTCTGATAAGTCTTTTCTGATTCTCCTCCTATCTCTCTCACCACTCCTTCTCAAGACTCAACTTTGTAGGTCTTTCTTCTCTTGCCTGCCTTGTAAACACTGGCATTCCACAAGGCTCATTATTTGAGTTTTTTCCCCTGTATTATTTTACACATGCTTCCCAGGTTAGTTTGTCTATTTCCTTAATTTTAATTACCACCTATCATGCTGGCTCCCAAATCTGTATCTTCAGTGAAGATGATTCTCCTGAGCTCCAGCCTCTTGCTAGTCTAAGTATGGGCCACAAATTGGCAGCCTTTAGTATTGCCTGGGAGTTTGTTATGAATGCAGATTCTCAGGTTCCCCCAAGACCTGAACCAGAATCTCCAATTTAATAAGATCCCTGGGTATTTTGTATGCACATTAAAGTTGAGAAGTCATAGGCTGGACCCCATTGCCGACTCTGTAATAGACATCTCTAATTAGATGCTCCATAGGCAGAGCAGTCCCCATCCCCTACTCTTCTTGGTTAAAGGTAACACAATTACTCAGTCATCTACATAAGAAATCTAGATCACTCCTTCCTTATCATTTATATCAAACTGGTTACCATTCCTACCTATTCTAGCTACTAAATGACTCCTGAATTTATTCTCTCATCTATGCTCATCACCACAGCTTTCACCTCCTTTAGGATAGATTATTATCACAGTAAAGGTCCTAACAGATTTCTCTGTCAACATTCTGGCCCCCAACACTCACCAATTTATCTACCAACTATTGCCAGAATCATATTCCTAAAATGCAAATCTGATCATGTTACCTCTTCCTGGCTAAAGATTCCTTCAGTGATTCTTTACTCTTTTAAACCAAGGTTCTTAACCAGGGATCCACACATGGGCTGTAGGAGATCCTTAGACTTTCTGAAACTATAAGGAAAAATTTGTGTATGTACATTTTTCTAGGGACAGTGTTATATAGCTTTCATCAGATTTTCGGAGGGGTCCATGACCAAAATAGGTCAAGAACCACTGACCTGAAGGATCAAGTCCAAGCTGTTCAGCTTGGCAAACAGGACCCTTCATACCTCTCCCACCTCACCTCCAGCCACTTGCCTATAGGAGCCCTTGGTTTCAGCTTTAATTATAGACCTGGAAGTGCCCTCAGCTTTCACACCTCTGTGCCTCTGCACATGCTGTTCCTGAAATAACCCCAAGGTCACATACACAACTAGTAAGTGGTGCATTCCACTCCTTCTGGACACCCCACTACCTTGTGCCTAACTCTAGCATACACCGACCATATCATGCCTCTATTGTAACAGCTTCCCACTTTGTTCCAAGCAGATTTTATTATAAAAAGTTTTATTAATAAAAGTAATATAATCATATTAGAGAAAATATATGAAAATATATAAAACAGAGAAAAGGTACATGTATATATCTGTGTGTGTATACCCACATATACATATAGTATATATATATAGTGTGTGTATGTATATATATTATATATATATATATATCATACTATCATCATCGTCACAAAGTCACTGGTATCATTTTGTTGTATTTCCTTCTAGAAATTCTTTTCATATGCAGATATTTTTTTACATATCTCTAATCAGAGTGAATATATGATGCTGTAGCTACCTGCCCTTTAAAAGCAAAGCCAACAATATACGATATGCATTTTTTCTTGTTATGCAGTTGCCCTAACCACCATTTTTAATAGTTATATAGTAGCCCATCAAGTGGATATGTTGCAGTATACTACGTAACCATCCCACTGTTGTTGAATATTTAGGTCTCCTTCCCTCCTTTCTTCTTGGCTATTATACGTGAAAGAGAAATTACCATCTTCATATACACAGCTTTTCCATATTTTGGATTGGCTTATTTCCTTAGATTACCAAGAATAATAGATGTATGAGTTAAGATCTTTCTTCCTTTGGTTCAAATTTGGTAGAAGTAAAATATATACATGTATATATAATGTTTCAATTTTTCTTCCTCTAATTATTAGCGATACTAAATATTTTTTCATGTTTGTTTACTATTTGTTTCCTCTTTTGTAAATTGTTCATGTCTTTTACTAATTTATCTGAATATTAGTGTTTTAAAAAATCAGTTAGAATAGTTAATGATTTTAACCCTTTGTTAATATTTGCTGTAACTATTTTTTTGCCTCTTTTTATTTTGGTAAAATTTTAGCTGCAAAAGTTAGAAAAAATCTCATTACTGAAATCTTGAAAACTAGAAAAACACATTAAAAAAATCATTTTAATTCTGTCACCCTAACGTAACCACTACTATCATTCCCACTAATTTTTTTAAAAAAATGCGTGTACTAAAAAAAAATGCATGTATTTTACAAAGTTGTAACTGCAGTGTGCAAACAATTTTAAAACCTGTTTTATTAACCCAGAAGTATTTTTCTGAAATGCCCCATAGTCTTCATAATCATCATTTAAAATAATAGCATAATATTCCATGGAATGGATTCACCCTTTCCTTATTGCTAGATATTCATGTTATGTCTAATTTTAAAAAATAAATAACACTGGTAAATATCTGCAGGTTTCTTTTCCATATTTTGAATTATTTTCTTAGGAAACATTCTCAGAAGTAGATTACTAGATAAAAGGGCATTAATACATGCTGGCTACCAAACTGTTTTCTTAAGGGGTTGACCCAAACCACACTATTACTAGCAAACTCAGTACCATTGTTTTTCAGTTCTATTAAAGATAGGCTAGGTAAAGAGGTAAAGATAGGTAAAGATAGGCTAGATAAGTTACCTACTTATCTGCATTTCTTTGATTAGTAGTGATGAACATTGTCCCATGTTTTCCAGTTGTGCTTAAAACTCCTTTGTAAATTGTCTATTCATGTTCTTTGCCCATATTTCTTCTTATACATCATACTGTATGAATGTCTGAGAAAATGCAAACCTGTCACATTTTGTCATATTTATGTCAAATATGCCTTTCTAGTCTGTGTTTAGATTTTATTTTTGAAATGGCCATAAAAGTTATTTTGGTTTTAAAATTTTATACAAATATGTTGATCTTTTCCTTTGTTTTTCTTCTATTCTTTCCTAAGCTTAGAAAACTATTCCCCTTTAGAAGCCTGATGAATATTCATTCATTCTAGGGTTTTTTTCCTAATTTGCTTTTTTTATATTTAACTCTTCAATCCAGCTGCCACTTATTTTAGTTTATTACAGGAGATGAGAGTATAAATGCTACAAGCTGTCACAACATCATTTACTGAACAATCCTTTCCAATCACTTGCAACACATCCTTTATAACTGATTGAATTCTTATATGCAACAGTCTCTTTGGGGAGTATACTATAACATCATTTGTCTAATCTTATACCAGTGGTACCAGTGTTTTCATTATCACAGTTTTTTATGTTTAATATCTAATAGCATTAGTCTCTCATTACTCTTCTTTTGCAGAATTTTCTTTGAAAATCACTCTTCTTTGGCTTTCAGATGCAATTATTTGCTGTCTTACCTCTAAGAGATAAACTTCTTGAGGGCAGAATTGGTTTATTTCCTTAGAATATTGCTGGGAATAATAGTACTGGGTCAACAGGTACAAACATTTTCCCCACTCTTAACATTTCCAACGTTTTCAAAGAGTGTGCCAATTTCACTGTAATCCTGCCAGCACCTGGATATTTTGAAATAAAAGATTTCTTTTTCAAAATTGGTAGGGGAAAAATGTGCCATGCTTCAATTTCTGTATCTCTGCTTATTAGTAATGATAAAAATATGCTTGACACTATGTAGGTGCTTAATCAATGCATGTTGAATGAATAAATGGCATGTATGAACCTGTACATGTATTTGGGGATACGGGGGTTTAAACAGATATTGTGGTTATAAGAGATAAATGCCCGCTAGATGTAAGTTTGTGGGCTAAATGCCTGTATTCCATCTGCAGAGGTTCTAGAGGCGCCAAGAACGCCTTGGAATTTGGACCTGAATTGGGGCAATCTCTAGAGACTCTTGGTAATTTATATTTACCACAGGCATGTCTGTTTCCAGGTAGGATCAGCTGCAAGCTGTCTGAAACAGTTAAGATAATGGCGTGTGGGTATGCCCACGCCTGCATACAGCCCAGAGGCAGCCATAATTGGCTGGAGATAGAGTGTGCTTCCTTTGGCAGCAAAACAGTAATAAGAAGTGGCAGGTACCTGGGTATTCCACTGCAAACTGACCCAGGCCCTAGGAGGCCTTAAGTGGTGAATTTAAATATATAAGCTGCTCCAGTGCCACATGCAGAAACTAGAGCTGACTTGTAGGACTGGGCATTTCCCATGAAACCACACTACTTTTCTTTTCAACTTGCTAAGCATGAGAAGGCAGAGAAGTCCTTGGTTCAGAGAAGCTTGGTTTTGTCCCTTTTATCTATAGCTTGAAGCAGACAGGGTCATTTTTCCCTCCTAGAGATCACTGTCTTGATTTTGAATTTTTTTAATAGAGCAAAAACTAACAAAAGGCAGGTTGTTTCTCTTTGTTTTTAAGACCATGTAAAACTCATTACTAAACACAGCTTCTCTATGCTCCACCACCTCAGTTGTAGATTCTAGTAGTAAACTTACTCAAGGATTTCCTTGGTCATGAAATCTATCCATTTGATGACAAGAATTCCATATTATTACCTTAATCTGCATATGCTGAAGTTGTGCTCAAGATTTTATTCTGAAAAATAAAGTGCTGTTTTCTCTAGACTCAAGAGCACTAGAGTATCAAGGTCATGGCAGATAGTATGAACAACTGGTGTGTGAATGATGCATTGGCAGTTCCTACCACTGCTGCTTTATTTCACTCAAATAGCACATTGATAAATTCAGTTTTTAAATTCCCTCTCCTCTGGAGGGGGGGATAAATTAGGAGTTTGGGGTTAACAGATACACACTACTATATATAGAATAGGTAAACAACAAGGACCTACTATATAGCACAGGGAACTATACTCAGTGTCTTGTAATAACCTATAATGGAAAAGAATCTGAAAAGTATAACTGAACCACTTTGCTGTACAGCTGAAACTAACACAACTTTGCAAATTAACTATACTTCAATAAAAATAAATAAATCAATAAATAAAATCCTTCTCCTCCAACATGTACTACAGCCATCTTAAGCAAGATACCAAATGCTGAATAAGGCTCAGCAGTCCCTGTCAGACACAGAGTATAGCTGTTTGAAATGTTAACATCAAACTCAAAAAGGACTTTTCCTGTAACTCCAAGTAGCACCCAATAGCTGTTGCACAAGCCCTTTCTCCTTAGGGTAACACCTCTAAGTTGCCACTTTGCTGCTTAGAGATGGCAGCATAAGCCTCTTTTTAAAAAAAATTTATTTATTTTATTTATTTATTTTTGGCTGCATTGGGTCTTTGTTGCTGTGTGCAGGCTTTCTCTAGTTGTGGCGAGTGGGGGCTACTCTTCATTGCGTTGCGCGGGCTTCTCATTGCAGTGGTTTCTCTTGTTGCGGAGCACGGGCTCTAGGCACGCAGGCTTCAGTAGTTGTGGCACATGGGCTCAGTAGTTGTGGTGCATGGGCTTAATTGCTCTGTGGCATGTGGGATCTTCCCAGACCAGGGCTTGAACCCCTGTCCCCTGCATTGGCAGGTGGACTCTTAACCACTGCGCCACCAGGGAAGCCCTAAGTCTCCTTTTTGATTCTTCAGCCTTTTGTTTTAAATCTGTTCTCATCAATTCTCCATCTATTCAAAAATCTGTTTGCCACTCCTTTCAAGAACTAGCTCCAAAATTCACCTCTTCCAAGACTTCCATGATTAACTGCTCCTTATTGCTAAATCTCTTCATCTCATACATATATTCAATTGGTACCAAAATTGATGTTGCTCCCCAATTATTCTAGTTTTAATAATGTTTCTAGAGTATAAGTTCCTTGAAGACAGGGGAATTTCCAGAAAGCTTAAAAGGAATTTAGAGATTGTCTAGATATCTAGATTAATATCCTTTGCTCTGCCCATTTTCCTGATGAAGAGACTGAGACCGAGAGAGGTTAATCTGTCCAAGTCAGTCAGCCAAGTTTGTAGAAAAAGTAGGCATAAAGCCCAGGTGTCCTGACTTTCAATAGTACACTTTCCACTATATTATGTCATCTTTTATTTTACTTGTATCTCTTCAGAAGGTGTAGTAAAGTGTCATACACACACACCCCCCACGTCTCTCAATAACTGCCAATACAATAAACATAAGAGTTTACATAAATAAGAAACTGACTCAAGGAAAGAGATAGAAAGCAGAAAGGTCATTTTCTTACTTCTTTGCATGATGCCACCCTCCAGACCAGTTGATCGCTACTTTGCACATTCCATCAATCAGGCACTGGGCAGCTGTGATTGTAGCCCCTCCTACAGCTGCTGCATAGTCAAATATTCCTTCAGTGGCTGGGCAGTCATAACCTTCAGGCAAACATCAGAAGAGCTTGTTAAAAAATAAGCTGGATAAAGAGGGGTGTGATATTATGACTTATAATAAAGAATATACAGTTAACCCTTGAACAACATGGGTTTGAACAGCGCAGGCCTACTTACAGGTGGATTTTTTTTCAGCAGTAAATACTACGGTACTACACCATTAGCAGTAGGTTGAATCCGCGGATGCGCAACTGCAGATGTGGAGGGCTAACTATAAGTTATACTCAGGTTTTCGACTGCACGGAGGGTGGGTGCCCCTAACCCATGCGCTGTTTAAGGATCAACTGTATTTCTTCCCAGTTTGTGGCAGAGTTCCTAAAATTCTTGGAATTCCTAAATGATGAGTTATAGATGTGTCTTGGTTGTATTAATGAGGTAACTTGTGGACCACATCTAAGGATGGGGGTTGGTTGCCAGTAGAATTATGAGGGTTGGAACTATCAGTTCCATCCCCCTGACCTCCTGTGTGAGGCCAGAGGAACTGGTGATTGAGTTTGTAAAAAATGAATAAACAGAAACTTAAATTAAATAGTCAGGAGACCAGAAGGGGGCGCTCTCACACCCTGAAACAATAACCAAGTTTAACAAGAAGAAAGACTTTTCTTTCCTGGCAAGGACTCAATGAAAAAGCCATGGACTCTTTTTTTTTTTTTTTAAACCATAGCTCTCCCAAGTTCCTTTCCCTCTCTGTAAAAGTGTTCTCCTTCCCTTGCCATGGCTTGCCATGGTTGCAGACCCCAAATTGCAATTCTCTGCTGATCCCAAACAAACCCATCTTTGATGGAGAAATATCTGGCAGCCTACTTGTTTAGGTCAACAAGCTTAATCACCAATTGGCCAATGACTTAATCATTCATGCCTATGTAATGAAGCCTCCATAAAAACCCCAAAGGAGAGGGTTTGGAGAGCTTCTGGGTTCATGAACACGTAGAGATTTGGGGAGAGTGGCACACCTGGAGAGGGCATGGAAACTCCATGCCCTTTCCCCATACGTTGCCTTTATGCACCTCTTCCATCTGGCTGTTCCTGAGTTATATCCTTTAATGATTAACTGGTAATCTAGTGAATATATGGGTTTCCTGGGTTCTGTGAGCCGCTCTAGCAAATTAATTAAATTCGAGGGGGTCATGGGAATTTCTGATTTATAGAGAGTTGGTCAGAAGTACAGGTAACAACTTGGACTTGTGCTTGGCATTCTGAGTTGGTGAGGTTGCTAGAACCTCCAATTTGCAGCCTGTCAGCCAGAGCACAGGTAACAGCTTGGGTTTGCAACTGATGTCTGATGTGGAGAGAAGTCTTGTGGGACTGAGCACTTCACCTGTGGAATCTGATGCTCTCTCCGGGTAGAGAGTGTCAGAACTGAGTTGAATTGTAGGACACCAAGCTGGTGTCCTGAGCATTGTTTGGTGGTTTGGGGGGAAATTCCCCCCTCCACACATTGGAATTGGGTCCAGTACCCTATTAGGAGGAGTAGATTGAGGTATGACAACAACATACCCTACCAGAAAGCTACTGTGCTAACACCAGCTCCAAAATGAGAGCTAAACACCTTCAATGTCGGGGAAGGAATTATTCAGTATTACAGCTAGAAAGACTAAACCTTGAAGATTAACTAGTCACATCCTATAGATGGAGAAACTGAGGACTGAGAGGTGATATGTCATATCTGTGATGACACAGAGCCAGGTCTGGGACCCCCTGGTGTCTTAAGCCCGCACCCCCGCCCTATACACATACCTCCAGTCCAGTGTTCTTCTATTAAATCATGTTGTTTCTCTAGACTATCCTATTGGCCACTTATGGCTTTTAAAAATGCAGCTGTTTAATGAGAGATAAGGCATCAAACTTAGCAAGAATATAAATATACACTGAAGTTAAAATATAAGGTCACAGGACAGTTAAATCAGTGTACATACAGCCAGACCCAATCTGGGCACTGCTATTAGGGCGCCAAGCAACTGAAAGGTTTTCCTCCATTTGATCCAGCATTAATTTTGCTCAATTCATATGGGAGTGTGGTTAAAGGAAGATTAATATTGTGGTTAACACATTAGTTGTTAATTTAAAAGTATTAAAGACCATCATGCAAGTTATAAAAGATTAAGTAGTTATGATCTATAGATGGAGGTCATCTATCTCCCATCATTGCCTAGTAATGACTTTACCTAGTCCATATTCTATGGAGTCTGGATGATCATCATCTCCTTCCTGGCTGACCTTCTGGAGATGCTGCAGATAGGCATCGGTGTGGAAAGTGGCCATCTCCTCCATGGAGGCCACTTTGGGCTTAACTATCCTAATAATAACAGGGAACAAAGAAAGGTGAGTGAGTCAGATCCAGAGTATGCCAGAACCTGGAAGCAGGAGCCAGCAGTTGGAGTGAAAATACAACTTCCAGCTTCTGGTTCCAGGAGGCTGAAGCAATAAACACGTTCTGTTCCTCCACTGCAATACAGTCTTCATTTCCTCACATCTACATGTTGACTCCATTAAAAAGGGGTGAGAGGATAGATATCTCCCTTGAGTTTATAGGCAGGTTAAAAAAAAGAGTTATTATATTTAAGTTAAATAATCAGGTATTAGACAAATTTTGCTCTGTGAGTTACAACTTTCATGACAAACCAGTAGGAAGAGATATTTTCATTTGAATCAGTTTTCCTAATTGGGCAAATACAATCCTTTCAACTACATTTTTACTTTAATAGGCAGCTGTATTGTCATGAATTTTGAATTTGGAGTCAGAGAACTGGCTTCCCGTCCTAATTACCAGCTCTATAACCTCAGATAAGCTGACTGTTCTGTAGTTCAGTTTCCTCATCTGTAAAGTGGGGATATCTTATGGGACTTAGGTGAAGATTAAATGATAACATATATGAAAATGCCTTGTGGATAACTGTCATTATTATTAATATTAAAGGATTAAAAAATAGGCAACCAAAAAATGTGAAAGTTTCTATAATTGGTCCCTCACATCTGCCTCTGAGAGGAAGGAGAGAAGGAGCAAACAGGCTAGAACTGGGCTTTGCTCAGAAGCTCTCAACCCACTGTTCACAAGAAGTGAAAATAGGAGTGACGGAGAGAATACAGGGTGCTAACCTAACAACAGGACTAAACCACCTCTAACTTCTAGCTGCCTAGTCCCCATATCCTCTTCCTGACTTTGCCACTGCCACTACTGCTCTCTAGCCCTCACCACTCAAAGGGGGGTCTATGGACCAGCAGCAGCATCACCTGGGAGCTTGTTAGAAAGGCAGAATTTCAGCCTCCCCTCAGACCTACTGAATCAGAATTTGTACTTCAGTGCTCACTTCAGCAGCAGATATACTAAAATTGGAATGATACAGAGATTAGCAAGGCCCCTATGCAAGGATGACACTCAAATTTGTGAAACATTCCATATATTTTGGATTGGGAGTTTGGGCTTAGCAGATGCAAACTATTATATAGAAAATGGAAAGAGAACAAGGTCCTATTGTATAGCACAGGGAACTATATTCCATATCCTGTGATAAACCATAATGGAAAAGAATATGAAAAAGAATATATATATATATCACTTTGCTGTACACCAAAAACTAAACAACATTGTAAATCAACTATACAATTAAAAAAAAAGAATCTGTATTTTAACAAGGTAATTCATATGCACATTCAAGTTTAAAACGCATGACCCAGGCCACAGAGAGGCATTAGTGTTTTTTTTGTTTGCTGAAGGGGAACATGCCCATGAGTTTCTCCTGAATTAATATGGTTATACAGGCTACTACCATCACCAAGCAAGCTCAGCCTCAAAAAGTAAATATATATAGCTAAGATCCAAGGAGTCTTGCTTCTTCTTCAAGAAAACATGTCTACACCCTCAGAAGTGATAACTCTGCCCATTAAAATAAAAATTTTACAGTTTCTTGTACCATGTTTCCCGGCCCTAATTGCTCCCTCTTTTAATACCCTTCCTCTTCCTTAACAAATCCTTACTGAGAGCCTCCCTACTTAACAGCAAGGAAATTAGACAGTTTTGCTTTGCTTTGATTTCTTGTTTGTCAAAGTAATTTTTTGAACTGTTAAATAACTTTAATGGAAAGCATGTAGTTTTTCTGTTTACCAAACCTTTGGGTTAAAAAACGGTTGAAAAACATTCATAAAGAAGATACTCAATAAATGATTTTGTTAATAATAAGGATAAAATTTACACTACCTTCTGGGAGATAAATGAAGCATATCACACTAGCCAGCATAGACAGATGTTCACCCAATTGGCCAGAAAATGTCACAAATAATCCTACAAGTGTCAGGGTTCTAATATTTACTCTTATAACAACAAACAGCAACTTCATTTTTTTGTTTTTTTTTAAAGAAGCACTTAGCTCTGTGCTGAGTTATGGCCTTGGCTCCAGGAGTTTCCTTTGGTCTTGACTGTCTCCAGGCTCATCATTAAAGTTTGGTGGTGGTAATGGTGTATCTAAAAGTCTTAAGTTGAACCCATACTCTCAGAGCTGGCTTAGGAAAGACAAAAAACAAACAACCCCAAAACCAGAACACCTCCCAGCTGAACATCTTTTTTTCTATCAGATAGGTTTTAGTACCCAAAAGTACTCACCCCGAAACCTCCACAAAACACCTATCCCTAGGATACTTCCCTCCCAGCAATAAAGTCCTATTTCTTAACTGCTTCATGTACTTTTTTCGAGTTTTCTTAATTCTTCAAGAGCTTTTACTAGGTTACAGGCAGATTACCAACACTGTGAATCACAAAAAACTTTTAAAAAAGGACCATTCTCTCCCTAATTAGCCCCACTGTGAAGCAGGAAGTTAAGGCTATGAACACCTGGGTTCAGGGCTCTGTTCAAGCACAACTTACCTCATTTGCTTATGCAGTGCATATGCTTCAATCAAGGAATGTACCATACTGGCCTAAAAACATCAGCAAAAAAGGAAGAAAAAAAAGGCAGAAAATAGTCTCAAATGTTTAATTCAGAGAAATTCCATCGACTTCATCATCCTGAACAAAGGAACTAACTTTTAACTCCCCTCCCTTTTTACTTAACAGTTACAAAGCACTTTAGACAATACAAAGTATCTAAATCGCTAAGGAGCAAGCTATCGGGCCTTACGGAGGTGTTGGAACACTTTTCTCCTGCAGCTTCTTCTCCACTTCGGGGATCCCTGGCAGTAGAGACACCATCCCCTCCATGCCATCCCTTCCCCCTCCCCCGCACCTCCACCCCACCCCCACCTGTCCGTTGGACGCCCCGCTGCGCTCTCAGGAAACTCTCTAAGGCAACACTTCCTCCATCACCTGGTACAGCCGCCCAAATTTCTGCTGAAGATTTCCCCCAGCCCTGTATCCTCTTCGCTTCCTAATGCCCTCCCGTCCACCGGCCCCCCACCCACACCCCCAAAACCCACGGTCTTTCATCCCAACCTTTCTTACCCGTTTGGGGACTTTGGCCAGGGAGTCGCACATGCTAACATACTCGGGGCTGTAAATGTAAACCGGGGGCAGCGACTGCCCACCGTCCGCCGGTTCCTCCGGCTCCTCCATCTTCCACTTACAGCCGTTCCGGAGCCACCGTCCGGATCCGGCTTTTTTCGGACTCAGCCCGGGCTCCGGTTCCTGCTCCTCTGATCGGCCGCAGCGGTGCTCCCTGGTCAACATTCCCTCCTAGTTTCGAGATCGCCGGTGACACTGTCCCTGCTCCCCATCCAATTGAAGAAATGCATGGGCCTTGTCAGGCCAGAACCCCTACATTTAGTGACTACAGTTCAAAAACGGAGGTCGGCAGATATAAAAGCCCAAATAGCTGCCAATTAGGATCGATATTTTATAGCACAAATAAGCACAGTCAAAACTAACCATTGTTGCCCTACGGGGCCATTTGAGATGAAGTCAGACCAGCTTCAGAGCATGCTGGGAGATGTAGTTTCGAGGGATTTGAGTAGCGGAAGAGTCAGGGCTAATTACTAAAATAGCCGCGAATTTGAGTTTTAGCGCTAAAAAAAAAAAAAAAGGATCACCGTTAACGCTTTATGAATTGTCTCAATCTGCAAACACACCCATATAAATATCTAAAGACAGACAGTGTGGCCACTAAGAGCCCAGCACCACCCAACACATCAGACGGGCTCTTTTTGGTGGGGGATTAATTAATGGTACAAACTGTTTGAAAAGTTTACACAGTCAATTCTGTGCTGCAACTTAGTTCACTGCTTTTCATCATTAACTATCCATGTCCATATAAGAGTTAACAATCTCAATAATTCACTCTGGCAAAGCTGGTACCACTTTCCCAAGACGCTGGCTGGTACTCTGTAAATTGCTTCGTAGATTCCAGTCAAGCAATGATGTCAAATCACTCCTTGAAAATTCACTTGGAGTTAAGTGTGTAAGCAGATACTTTCAGTGATGTTTGGAAACTGCAGCTCTTCTTCCTTCCCTCCTTTTTTTCTCTGCAGCTATACAAGAGTTAGGGAAATATTTTAGGTTTAGTGTGAGGGTTCACATTAAAGAGTATCCTGGAGCAGTTTTAGAATTACCATCAGTATTTCCAGGTTCCTGGGGGCCCCTATGATCTGACACAAACTAGCCAATGCCCAAGGCCCCAACTCTCACATCAACATGAATTAACCTCTCAGACAATCCAATATTCTAGTTTGCTTTTTCCCCCTACTCTTTAAACATTTATGGAGTATTGTGATATGCACTTGGATATACTATCTCATTTCATCCTTGCAACAGTCCTATAAAGGAGGTTGTAATACACCCATTTTACAGATGCAGTTTAGAGAAAGTAACTGTTCAAAGTCACACACACAAACAGAAAAGCAGGAATTCAAAACCAGGTCTGCCTGACACTGAAGTTTTTGAACATTCCCTTTACTATATAAACTTGATTCCTCCAGGATGACTTTGTGTTAAATCTAACCTTGTTCAACCCTCCATTTAGTATCTCCTCAATACTTAGTATTCTGGATTTTTTTTTTCTCCTGCGATGTGTTTCTTTAGCTAGAATGTAAGCTCTCATGCTCCTTTTGTATCTTCCCATAGCAATTAGCTCAAAGTTCTGCCATCATTCAATCATTCATCAAACTTTATCTGACATCAACTAAGTGTACAGTACAGCTGAGGATTCAATCCTCAAGATGAATTACAGTCTGCTCTCTGCTCTCAGGGAATTTGCATTCTTGTAGATGAGACGGATACACAAGAAGCAGAGTCAGATAATGAATGTAGGATGCTTGTTTAATAACTAAGCATTAAGTACTTAATAACTGGTACTTAGTAAATGGCAACTAGGGTTCTTATTCAGTGACATCTGAGAGGGTCCTAGTGGATAGATGGGATTTTACCTGGTGAAGAAGGGAGCCAGGGGAGGGCATGCTGACTAGAATCAACAGCATAAGCAAAAACAAAAAGGAGAACATTTCTAGGCTAGTTTAGTTGAAGGGGCTGGCTCATGAAGTGTTTTGAATACTAGACTAAAGAGAATAGACTTCACCCTGTGGGAAATGGGGAGACATATAAACAGAAATCTTAAAATAAAAGATTTCTACAGCAGTAGTGTGTAGGGAAGATTAACTATTGAAAGACTACAAGCAGTGAGAGTGCTGCAATGGATCAGATAAGAAATAATGATCATTTATGGTTTTGTTTTGTTTTTTTGTTCTTTTGGCTGTGCCGCGTGGCATGCGGGATCCCGACCAGGGTTAGAACTCGTGCCCCCTGCAGTGGAAGCATGGAGTCCTAACCACTGGACCGCCAGGGAATTCCAAAGCAATGATGATTTAAACTAGGGTAGGGACAATGGAAACAGAGAGGGAGAAACAATGCACAGGGTAGGTTCAACAGGACTTCCTTACTACTAGTACTTGAATATTGGTGAGAGCAGATGGAGAAGTTATTGAAAATTCTTAAAGTCTGTGTGAAGAGAAGGCCAGCAGCATCAATATAAGGAAGAGGGAAATGAGAAGGAAGAACTCAGAGGGTAGGGCAGGTGCTTAACCCAGTTTATTTCCCCACATAGATAAGAGATAGCTAAAGTCATAACAGTGGGTGAGATAGTCAAGGGAACATGGCTGTCTCCACTGCGATGTCTAATCATATCTAACTTAACATTTTCAAACCAAACTCCTGATTTTCCTATCCAAGTCTTTGCCACCCCTTCCCCATCTTTCATAGCTCAGTAGAGATACCAAAGTCTATCCAGTTGCCTAAGCCAGAAACCTGGGAGTTATTTGTATTCCCTCCTTTTCTTTCACTCCCAAATCTAATCCATCAATTTCCATTGGTTTCACCTCCAAGACGTGTCTTAACTACCTCCACTTCTCTCCTCTGCACTGCCGCCACCCCAGTCCTGGCACTGTCATCTCTCACTTGGACTTCCTGCAATACCTAGCTGGCTTCTACTTCCACTCTTGTTGACTTACAATCCATTCTTTTTGTAGCCGCAGAGTGAGCTTCTTAAAAAATGTAAATCAGATCATGTCACTTTTTAAAACCTGCCCCACGCCATGGTGAGAATCTTTGAGCTAGGAAGAAGAGAGTGATTTGGGAGAATGCCGTTTGTGGGAGTTGGGAGAGAAAGATGCCAAAAAGGAGACAAAAAAGTAATAGTTGGGTGAGAACTGGTACAGTTTCACAGAAATCAAGGGATGAGAGTGTTACAAGAAGGGAGAGGTAGTAACAATGTCATGTATTGCAAAAGGGTCAGAAACCCCTTTTGCCATTAGGAGTTCACTGGTGCTCTATGAAAAACACACGAGGCAAGGGAGGAAGCCAGATTGCAAGGGGTTAATGAGTGAAGCCAATGCTGTCAAGTGTAACTTCCTTTTTGAAGAAATTTGATTGTGAAAGGAAGGAATTATTATAGTATATCAACCTAGGGGGATGTCAGAGCCCAGGAATATTTTTTTAGAATAAGAGAGAAATGCACATGTTTACAGAGGGGAAGGAGTCTATGGGGCTGTAGGAGTTGACTAAAAGGTGAGATCATGACAAGTTGGCAATATAAGGAGGAAACAGGACTTGTCTAGGGCTTTTCATGGATAGACAGTGGAGAAGGAGGGCAGGATACAGACTGGCCAACTGAGACTCTAAAGTCTGGACTCTGATGTGAAAATTGATTTTTCCATGTGTTCTTTCAGTTCTAGCAACAGGTAGCTGAACACTTCAACATGGGGAGCATTGCTTTTAAACTGGAAACAGTATCCTCATTTGGCATACAATGTGGCAAGATGATTCAACTATGGAAAAAGATAAATTGTTGCACAAGGATCTGCAACAGCAAATCCCACAGGGAGGCTGCACCCTTATTCATGATTAAGATAGAGCACAAACCATGCCACAGGTCCCAACCTCAACTTTCCACAAGCTTAATACCCATACTATCCTTAACTTGGGAAGAAAACCTTTCTCAAAGCACCAGATTTGCAGTCAGAGGACTTGAAGTCAGAGGAAATAGGTTGAATCTTGGCTCCAAAGTTTACTAATGTGGTGACCCTGGACAAGTTCTTGGCCTCACTTTCCTTAGCCATTTTTGCTAAAGGTAGTTTTTGAACCAGCAAGGTCAGGATGGGCTATGCCACTTCTTTTGATGATCTCCTCTGCCTTCACTTGCTGGCAGAAGCAGGCAGAAGGGAAAGCAAACACATTAAGAAGTCACCACCCCTCTGGCCACCTTCTTTGTGCATTTTACAATATGCCCACTGATATCTCAACTGTAGTGAACCAACTGACCCTTGTTTTCACACCACTTCCTAATGTCTTTTCCTTGGAGAGTGTCATTGTTGAGAATGTGAACTCTATAGAGTCAAACTGCTTGAGCTCAGATCCAAGCTCTACCACTTCCTGGCTGTCTGATTTTCAACAATTTGCTTATAATGCTTAGCGCCTCAGTTCCCTCATATGGAAGATGGGGATGACAACAGTAATTAACTCACATGGTGACTGTGAAAACAGAATAAGATGGTCATACCAAGTGCCTGTATAACAATGTCTGGCATTTGGTAAGCACTCAAATATTGATTATCATTTAAGAGCTATTATGCCAAATATTCCTCAATTTGGGGGAAAGTCTCCACCCCATTGCTATCCTCACCCACATACCGTTACTGCAAGAGTACTGTTACTGGTTTGAGAACAGGTCCTTTGCTTTTAGGCCTAGCCTTAAAAGAAATCGGACTTCTGCTAAATAGAGGGTGACCATGCCATCCAAACTGGGACACTTTTGAGTGACAGAGAGTGCTATTAATAATTATGCCAGGACAACAGGCATAAACGGGGACTGTCCTGGGCAAACCAAGACCTAAGGTCACTCAAGTTTAATAGGAAATGAAGACTAAGTGTGGAAGACACTATATTTATCTCCATTGCATTAGTACAGGTACTAGGTATTTGGTAAGTAGAAAAGGGTCAGAGTAAGAATAACTTTGGACCCATCAGCTGCATAAAATTCTCAGAATGTAGTATAACCTAATTAACCAGGATGGGACTGCAGAGACTGTTCATCCTTGCTGGATAAACCCTCTCTTGTTACACAAAAGGCTAATGAGTAGTTGAACAAGATTCTGCCGAATAGTTATAACACTTAGGAGAACGAACTGTTTTTAGGTACCCTCCAGTTGTGCAGGAGCACCACCTGCAAACAATTATAATGCTGACCAAAAATCAGTCTTATTCATTCATCAGAACAGGCTCCCGACAGATGTCAATAAGCTAGTTGGAATTCAGTGAGCCTAGTTTGAGCAGTCATGCACTCGAATGATAAAACTGCATTTCTTTACATATATTACATACCATATTATATAATGTATAATATATGATTTATGTATTAATATTATTCTACTTTGACCCAATTATGAACTTTGACTGTACCGCATAATTAGAGTATGTAAAATAGAGCCATGAAATAAACTCCAATGACAGAAACACATATAAAGTTTTGCACATTGGCACCAGACATGATTTAATTGGAAATTCTAATTTTTTATTCTGTTTTCAAAACATAAGTGCTTAAAAAGTGTCCAATGTGTTTTTTAGTACCACATGCTTAAAATGAACAAAATATGAATCAAGTTTTCTAAACAGTTGCTTTAAAAGTGAAGTAGCTGTGTGTGGGAAGCATAGTGATAGATAACTTCATAAACCCAGAGAAATGTAGCCATCAGGGTCAGTTCAGGTAAATTTGTGTGGGAGGGAGTGGTGGCTTTCAACTGTGCCACTCCAGATGTACTCTCTGTGGCTGGGGTACACTTGCAGCCAGTGAAAAGACAGTTTCAGAACAGGGTGTAAATTTTCTTTATATGTGACCAGAAAATCACGTAATCAGAAAGCTACTTACTGTGTGTTTCCATTTCCTATAAGAGAGGTACTGAAAAG